CTTAAATTCGAAAGGGAAAAAAATACAAATTTGTTTTCGATTTCAATATTTCAAGTTTCAACCATTGATAGTATATCCCGAAGAAAAACAAACAACAGACACCCCAATATTCTCCTCCTCCTTAAAAATTATATTTATATAAAGTAAAATAAATAAATATATAAAATAAAATAAAATAAAAAACTTTTGCTTCCTCTCTCTCTCTCTCTGGAAAGGAGAATTTTGGGATTTTCAGTTTTCCTAAGGATTAAAATGACCGACTCGGTAGAAAATTGATTTCTTTGAAGTTATAACTATGATGTAAAATTACAATTACAGATTGCATACACACATTCAAACATATTAAAATTAAAATTCTTACTCTAATTACATTTAGAGAATATTTTAATGGGTTAACCTAAAAAAATTACTTCAACTATATTTTTTTTAAATATCTAAATTTTTTTTGGTTAAAATAATTCGTTAAACTATTATATGTAACCAATTTAAGTGTCTCAACTATTTTTTTATCAAAACAAATCCCTAAATTATTTTTTTGTTTGTCCCTAAAATATTTTTTTATCAAGATAAATACCTCATTTTGAATGACGTGTCAATGTTTTATTAATCAAAAATAATTTTAATTAAAAATATTAAGACATAACATAATTAATTATAACATTTAAATACCTAATTTACCAAAAAAAATAATTTAAATGCCTAAAATAAAAAAAACATAATTTTAATACTTATTTTCTGTTTAAGTCTATTTTAAATCAAAGTACAACTTAAACATAACTCAAACTTTTATAAAGTACATAAGATATTCTAAACATATGTCCAAATAATTTTGATTGCTGAATTTTTAAAATAAAATAATTATTAAATTAATTAAATTATTATAAAATATTATTAAAATATTATAAAATAGCTATTAAATTTATTACATTGTTATAAAATAGTCATTCATTTTTATCAAATTACTATAAATAATTATTAGATTTATTAAATATTATAGCCATTACAAGTTTATAGTAATTATTTTATAATAATTTAATAAATATGGTGAAATTTTATAAATTTTAAGATTTAATAATTGAAAATTATTTTAACAAGATTTAAAAATCTCTAACATACTAATCCAAAAAGATATTATCTTAAACTCAATAGTGTGAGCTTTTTGTGTATATATGATAAAGCCACAGGCTGTGACTTTTTCTATTTTAACTCTTTGATTGGGTGACTTGATTTGGTGAGTGGATCAAAGTGTTTACTTTTTTGTATATAAAATGATCATCAATAACTTTTTTTTTTATTAAAAAAATCCAGCTAGGGTTTGGAGTTGGGAGATTTGGTGGAGATTGCATGCTCAAAAGTAGAAAATTACAAAACAAAAAAAGAGGGTTAGATATTGATTGATTATAGATAATGAAAATATGATTTAGGTTACTTGACTTTTTGACATTTTTAATAATTATTTAATGTATATTTATAATAAAAAATGGTTTAATACATTTTTAGGGGTTTAAATTATACTTTAAATTGATTTTTGGTACCTATACTTTTTTTTATTAAAAATAGGTGTCTAACGTTTTCAATGTTACACTTTTAGGTGCTTAAACAATAACGGCCATTAAATTTGGATGTTATCTTACACGTGTCACCCGTATCAAAATTTAAAAAAATTAAAAAAAAATACACTTTTAGGTGCCTAAACTATACCTTAAATTGACTTTAATTTGGTGCCTAATATATTTTCGTTAAAAATAGGTGTCTAATGTTTTCTTCGTTACATTTTTAGGTGCATATCGTCATATTTTTTTGATTTTTTAATAATTAAAATATTATTTTTTTTCCAAAAAATAAACTCCCCTCGCGTTGTCCCCCTCTATCTCACCCCAATCTCCAACGACGACAAAGTGTCACCACCAGCCAAAGTATGTTCGGAGTAGGGTAAAGAACTCAATAGTGGCAAATGTATAATGTACAACCAATTGTAGTCATCAGAATCATTAAAAATAGTGAAAGAAAACTTAAGAAATTGATGACCTTCACAACAATCAACATAGTTTCATGGTGTATAGGGACTGAGTTTTAATCGCATCGATAAGAAAATTTTAATGATTCAACGATGACGGTCACAAACCAACGAAAGCTTTCTACCATCTATTCCGGTGGCACTCGACAAAGTGCTCATGTCACTTTCAATTGTGGCAGTGATGCCTTTGGAATAATGAGTAACTCAAAAGAATTTCTCTTTTTTATTATTTAAACCAAGAAAATGCTTTAAACCTTGTTTTAATTAGTTTTAGGTGGAGCTTGTGGCAATGGAAACCTTTAAAGCCAGGGTACAAAGTCAAACACAATAGCTTTGAGCATTGCTCCCCCCAACAACAATGGCGACTGGTGCAATCTAAGACTTCTTGAGAAGCAAACATAAGAAAAGTAATTCCCTTTTTCTTCAACTTGGTCTTAATAACCAACGTGGCAGGCTCTGGTGATATCGTGAGAGAGGAGGATTTCATTGGTTTTGTTTTTGCATGGTTTTGTTGGAATGAGAATTAAAGTGGTCGTAGGGGGAGGGGCAGGAGGAGGAAGAAGACCTTGACTTTTACAATTGGGTTTTTTGGAATTTTTTTAACCGACAACTCAAAGTTCCTTTAATGGGTTAACAGGGGTTAACTTAATATGGGTTATCAGGGGTTAGCGATTAAGTGATTAAAATTAATCAGATCGATAACGTAAGGGGCAAAAAAACATTTAATTAAAAAACCGAAAAACACACTTAATTAAAAAATCGATGATCAAAATCAGTTAGACCGAAAATAAATAGGACTATTGGTATAATTTACCCAATAATTTTTTTATATTTAATAATTAAAGAAAAATACAAAGATATATTATCTTATATTTATCTTAAACTATTAAGAAAATAAGTAAAATTATTAACATATGAGAATGTCAATGATTAAGAAAAATATGTTATTTTCAAATAATTTTAGTTTAAAAATAGTATTCAATGATTGAGGTTTTTGGGCAATTAGCACATGTATTGGGCTGAGCAGAGCCTTGAAACAAAAAAAGCTCAAATTCAGCTTTTTAATGGTCCAATAATCCAAATTCTAAAATGTTTATCCGCTAACGCACGCAAAATCAATTAGCAAAATGATTTTTTCCCCTTTTTTCCATCACATGGCATGGGCTAAAATGAAAGAAAATTAAAAATTGTAAAGATAAATATGTTTTTTGATAAATCTATATGAATACGAGTAATATCTGTTTAAATATAACTCTCAACAATTTAATAATAAACGTTTATATCCCTAACACATACAATACTCGAATCTAAAATCTCAAGGGATAATAACAAATCCATTAACCGATTGAAATGAATTTTATTGGACCAAAATGAAAAGCTTTAAAAGTCTTATTTCAAAAGAATACGTATGACAATTATTATAGATACATTTTAATACGAATACAAATTCATAAAATTTGATAAGATTTAGGTTCTAATTGATTTCATAGATCACCCTTAAGAAAGGGCCAAAAACTTTAAAAATTCTCTTATTTCTTATATTATGTCATTTTTTTCTTAAGATTTTTTTAAATTTGAATAAAAATTTATGTCATTGTGACACGTTTTTCTTTGCTCTTGTGGCACAATCCTTATGGTTTTTGGTACGTTTTTCGTGTATCTTCACGGTCATTTTGTTGTTCGTACAGACGATATTTTTTTTCCTGATTAGTTTGTTGGTGATCAAGTATAGTCAGATCTTCTCTTTGGTAACAGTTTGTTTGCTGATATAATAAGAATTGTGTAGCGAAGCAGTCTGCCAAATAATTTGGTTTGCTCACCATTGTTTTATCGTTTCGTAAAGTGTATCGTTCGACAGAGATAGAATTTTTATGAAAGTTATTGATTTCTTTTAATGGTAGTCATCATTCTCAAGGGAAGATTTCATTTTTTTTGTATATCTGTGCTTAAATTTTATTTTTGCATGAGTTTTCTGATGACTATTGTCTCCATTTTATTCTTTATTGTCGAGTGTGTTGTGATTTCGATCGCGTCTTCTATTTTTATCAATGAAATTCAGTTCCCATTGTTAAAAGAAAAAAGAAATAAAGGACTAATCATGAGCATTTTTGAAAATATTTCGTCAACAGGAGGATATAGGTTTTAATTAATTAATTTTTTTATTTCTTAATTCAATAGCATGTAATTTAAAAAGGTTTAAATACTAAAAATCCAATTCATATGATGCTTTTATTTATATTTGAATAATTATCCTAAAACCTAATGGCAATCCTATTCAAATTAGTTTGTACAATGAACTGAAATCTTAAATTACTTTATTTTAAAATAATTTTCATTAAATTATATTAGTAATTATCCTAATTAAATATTTTAATTAATTCAGAATTAAATCGTGTATTAAAAGTAATTTTATATATTAAACTTAACATACAATTATTAAAATATATCAAATTTAATATATAATAACTGTATATAGTACATTAAGAATAAATTATTTAACTATTTTTTAAGTAATAATTAATAGTAAAGTAATATGAAGAGATGATTTTTAAACGTATTACTTAGTTAATATTTAAATTATATATTAAACTCATCAAATGATTTTAATAAATAAAGGGTATGTTATTTTCTCTTGAAATCATGAATTCAAACAGCTACATTTGTAAGGTGTGAATGTGTTACCAATAATTAAAAAATATTATGAATAGATATTACCATTATAATCACGCAAACTATTAAACTATCATTAACTAATCTCAATATAGTTAAAGGGTTTGTTGAACCGCTTATTCTTTTATCCTTTCACATGCAAATACCCTGTTTTTAATTTTTATTTTTTCTCTATATAACCCCCCGGGGGGTCCCCGGGGGGGTTACCAAGGAACATTTGAGACACTTGTTGAGCATTCTCCCACATCTTCGGTTCTTTCCTTATTTCCCGATCTTTTTTCTGGCATTCCATTCGGTTTGGTTCAGACAGGAAATGGCCGGGATTGTCGTGATTTTCGATTTCGACAAAACCATCATCGATTGTGACCGCGATAACTGGGTCGTTGACGAGTTGGGTTTCACCCGGTTGTTCAACTGGCTTCTCCCAACCATGCCCTGGAATTTTCTCATGGTAAAACCATGGATAATCATGATTTAAGACAAGTACTTGGATGTTCGGACATGTTGGTGTTTATGTTACGTGGGATGGATTTGCGTTGCAGGACAAGATGATGGAGGAGGTTCATGCGGAAGGGAAGACCATCGGCGACATTGTTGAGGTTCTTAAACGAACTCCGATTCATCCCAGGATCGTCCCCGCCGTTAAATCAGCTTATGCTTTAGGGTACTTCTTCCTCGACTATAAAAACATCATGTAGGAACTTAGAACGGTGATGGATGATGATCGAAAAATTCTTTTTCAGGTGTGAACTTCGGGTTGTTAGCGATGCAAACGTGTTCTTCATCGAGACGATTTTAGAACACCTGGGAATGAGGGAATATTTCTCGGAGATCAACACGAACCCTAGCTTTGTCGACCATGAAGAGAAGCTAAGGATCTTCCCTCACCATGATTTCACCCACAGCTCCCATGGATGCAGCAGCCTCTGTCCTCCAAATATTAAAGGTAAAAAGTGGGATTGAAAATTTTGAGGGTTTCAATTATAAAGGTAACAAGTGAAATTACAAAAATTAAGAGTCTCAATTATAAAAGTAAAAATTTAAAAATTTATTTAATGCCTCGAAACTCGGGTCAATAGTTTAATTCAACCTGAGACCTTTAAGTCAAGCCAATTAAATTTCTCAAAATAGTTGGACTAAGTTATATAGGTATTGGACTTAAGTAAGACTCAATAATTAAAGGTAAGTGATGGTTTTAAGTAGAGGTAAAAAGAAGAGGGACCAAAAGAGTAGTTTATCCATAGTTGGTTTTAAAGATTATAAAACCCCCTTCTTTAGATGGATTTCACGAGAACCCTCCCCGAGAATATATTCTTCCTCTTCTCTTCCCCTTCTTTATTCCTTAGTTCATCATCAAGCAGAAAAATACTGATTCTGTCGAAAGAAACTTTGACTTGAATAAGAATCGAAATCGCGTCGGGTATCATTCTCACAGGTTCTGCCATGCTTCTTAGAGTTGTAGGAACTTTGAAAATGGTTCCAGCATTCATTGGGGCACTTCCAAATAGAACACATCCCAAAAACACAACTGAAGAAACAATGAGTGGTGAGATCCAATAGAAAACAGTGCCGTAAGCCCTTAAAAACTGTTGTTTAGAAGGCCATTTCAACTCATTGTCACGTAGAGATTCGATCAAGCTCTTGAATTTCTCCTCCCAGGACTGCAACTTGATGATCTTCATGCTATTTAATATCTCAGAAGTGGCTCTCAATCTCTCATCTTGTGAGATCATAAATTGAGATTGGTATTTCTGCATGATCTTCGCCAATGGCATATTAAGGAATCCGCATATGACAAGAGGAACTATACCGGCTATAGCACCGACACCGACAACCGAAAAAAGCACTCCAATAGACATGAAAATTTGCAACACGAGACTCCAAGTCAAATGAAACCACCGTGGAAACTCTCCCAATCTATAAGCATCTACAGCTATGTAGTTCACAATCTCCCCGGAAGAATGTCTCCGCCGTCCTAAACACGAAAGCTTCAGCTGCTTCTGATAGACTGCCACCATCAATGCTAATCTCATCCTCATTCCGGACCTCCTCGAAGTGAAAAACCAATACCTCTGTGACAATGACTCGACAACCTAGTAAAATAAGACCCTCCTGCAGGCTTCCCTCTTCCTGGTTCGAATAATTTACGAAAGCATAGATCAATAAAGGAAGGACAACAACTGAAATCGTTCTAAGAACTGCACAAATTGCTATAAAAATGTTTTCCTTAAAATATACTTTTGTTATGGCCCTAAGAACCAAGTTTCTGCTATCATTTGAGCTTTTGTCTCGTATAAGTGTGTCCCATGCATTAGCAAACTTTTGGTATGCCAAATTGGATTCATCTTCTGTACTAAGAAGGGATGTCTTCAAGGGTTAAGGGTCTCAAATAACCTCTGGAAAGTAAAGGATTAATCCAAGAAAATGACAGTTTGCTAAAGAATTTGGTCTCACAAAGTTCTATCTGGTTTTTTTCTTCCTTTTCCTATAATAGATGTTCTGATAGACTCTCATTATCCTTGCCTAAGTCAATGAAGTATCTAAATGCACATAGTAACAGCAAGATGTTCACCGTCCATGGAATGCCGTTGAATATTTCGATCCGGTGAGTTCTAAATAGATCTTCGATATGAAGAACCGAAACCAATAACGCGAACGACGCCCACCATGCTGAGATGTGACTTTTAAGCGGTTTCAATGTTCGAACAAGCAATGAAACTGATAGTGAAATCCAAATTAATCCCCTGACAAGCTCAACCAACCAGCTCAACCTATTAGTTCCCTCATGTCTTGCTATTAGATTCCACAAACCAACACTAAGATACAGTGTACTAACAAGAGCACAACAAATGGAAACAACAATGGACATATTGTCCCTTTTGTTAACAACATTCCGTCGTTTTTCGATGAAACATACGAACAAAAGTAGATAGAAAACAAAGAGGAACACCAGGTTTATGACATCTATGATGGTTCTTTGAATGCAAAAGAACCGAAATCGAGTTTCCCTTCACAAATCAATATAACCCCCTTGCATATCCATCACAAGATTTAGAATCAGCATATTTTCATACTAGAAAATGATTAAAAAAAAGAAAAGAAAAAAAGAACAAAGTTCATACATGAACATTTGGAAGAAAACTTCCAACAGGAAGACACAGAGACAGATTACAAACATAGAAGATACCATCAAAGAACACCTGATGAAATCTTCCAACAAGTTGAAGAAAACTTGCATATCAATGTTTTTCATACCAAGTAAGGTCCACAAAGAAGCCATAGCTGATAGTTCAAAACACTGTGTATTGGCAAAATACACTTCAGCTATTACATAGAAGATACCTGCAGTCTTCTGATTTTTTTTTTTTGGCTGCTTTCACTTCATAGATTTTCTTCAACTTCTGTACTACACGAATATCAATGCACAGAATGTAAGACTAAAATCTTTTTACATGTATAAAAAGAAAGTATTATTTTCATATTTATGTCAAAACTCAACACATATTTATATGAACACAAACTTAGTTTTGGTGTTGAATAAATTCAGTAGCATTTGGCAATTACGACAGCTATCTTTCTCAGAGTCAATGAAGAAATTTACTATGTTAAATCTGTCACCACAAATGTTCTCCACCCTAAATGATTAAAAAACTAATGGTGAGTAATTAAATAAGTAGGAATAGTACAATATATATATATATAGATTACATGCCAGTCTTATTATTTATATTCGATGTTTTTGATATTTATGAAAAATATTATACTCTAGTACAATTCAGCTCATGATTAAATATCCTAATAAAAGCAATAGAATAATGATTTGGACCCAAAGCCCACTGTCCATTCTTTAGTAAGAAAACCATATGAAAACGGGTTTCTTAAAGGCCCTCCAATAAAAATATTGAATAAGAGCTAAGATCCAAATAATTAAGCTGGAGTTTTCATTTCAATATGTGCTGAATGATTGGTCAAAATAATTAAGTGCAGTGCAACTGTAACTTGTGCATGTAACTTGAGGGTAGGGGTTGGAATAGGCCAGGCCGGCCTATAGGGCCTATGGCCTGGCCTGGCCTATTTAATAAAAAGGCTAGGTTAGGCCTTTTTAAAAGCTTATTTAATTAAACAGGCCAAATTTAGGCCTATTAAAAAATCTTATAAGCTTGATAGGCCGGCCTATTTAGTGTGACTACTTTGTAAAATGTACTAAGTTAGAGTGACTTAATAGGGATTTTACTCTAAAATTAATGACTAAATTGAAAATATTAAATGTTTATTGTTAAACAGGCTTTTAAACAGGTCAAGCTTTTAAACATACCAAGCTTTTAAACAGGCCAGGCCAAGCCTAAATAAAAGCCTTTGACAGGCCACAGGCCAGGCTCAGGCCTACAAAAATCATTATAGGCCAGGCCCAGACCTATTAAAGCCTGGCCTGGCCTGGCCTATTCCGACCCCTACTTGAGGGGTAATTGTAGATATGAAATATTATTATCCAACAGACGTAGAATTTTACAAGAGATATGATCTAAAAAGTTATATTAAAATTTAAAAAAATACGAATATCATCAATAAAAAATATAAAAGAAACAATTTATATCAAAATTTTCAAAAAGTACGAATGTACACTCTCTCGGCCCATCCTTTTTCAAAATTTAGAATTTTGTAATGAATTTTGCATAACAAATATAGAATTTTATCTTGAGAAACAAACTCATACAATTACGTATCATAATTTCTCATCTGTATAATAAGCCTTTGCCTGGCATTAATTATATGTACATGTCGCAAGAACCTATTACAAATTGGCCCACCCAGGAGTCTCAATGCATTATTCAGTACCTCGATATAAATAATACACAAGACAGCCACATTTTTCTTGGGATATCTTGTCTTCTTTTAATCTGTCTTTAGCTGATATGTCTGTAATCTTCTCGATAAAAGTAGGAGGAATGGACGCTAAAAAAATAGAGATTTACGGATGATGCCGAATCTGTAATTTTTTTACATTTTGGTACCAAAGTATAAGTAAATGAAAATAGAGTACTAAATTGCATTCAAGATTAGTATTTAACATTCGTTGTATTCAAACCTGCTAGTATATACTAAATTAGCCTCACGCTTTTTATTGGTTGATTTATTAGGCTTCTGATTTCAATTCAAATTCAACTTTAAATCTACTTTTCTGTTCATATTTAATTTTCTTCTTCTGCAGCTTACACTGGATTCTCTCTATGTTCCCTCTCTTTTTAATGCCTTCAATTTAAACTCTACCAACTCCCTCGTATAGTTAATTAGGATTTTAATAGCTGACCCCTTAATCATTCTTCAATTTAGTTAATATGATTTTAAAATAATGTTATTGTATTATGATAATTTATCATCATTTTAACTCGTGAAAATATTACTACATATAAGATTCATTTACTTTAAAATTTTAATTAACAACTTATTTTAATGGTTAAAGGAATCTTTGTTATTTTTAGAGGTCACTGGTTCGAGCACCAGCAACTGCAAGCATGGTGATTGAATGTTATTCGTCAAAAAAAATTTAAATAACAACTTTTAATAGATATAGAAAAAATATAGTTTTCTCTCATTGGTGTGTTGCTCGCCTCTAGATGTGGCAAACGAGTCATTCGGATCAGGTTTGAGTCGGGTCATTTCGGGTCTTGATTAAATTCGGTTTAATTTTGTTCTGGATCGGATCTAGTTTAGGTGTACGGTGAATAGGATCAGATAGGGTATCAGGTTCGGTCAAATTATGGGTTGGTGATTATTGGATCGGTTGTTTTTCGGTTTGGGTTAATATCAGATCGGTTGATTTTTGGGTCTGATTAATACATATCGGTTAGATTTCGGGTTGGGTCAATATCGGATCGGTTGATTTTATGTTTAGGTCGACCTTTAGATTAGGTAAATTTAGGTTGAATTAATTATGAGTCTAATCAAAATCAAATATATATAGA